ATAAATTTATCAGACACCATTCTGGTTATTGATTTTAACTCTTATTTTATTGCATCATATTATTTTTCAGAATCATTACTTTTCATGACCCATGACAACAATAAGGGATCCATTCTGATTCCTATATCATAATATAATTCTTGTAGATATGCAACATAATAACCATAAATGACATAATTCCTTCCCCTTTGAGATATTCTCAAAGTTGTCAATTATGATTGTTCTACAAGACCATTAATAATGATATCAATATAACGTGGGAGTTTAGTAATGTTATTTTTGGTGTTCACTTTTATCAAATCATTTAATGATTTGAGTAACAACAATCTCTCGAATAATAAAGGAGTATTAACTTGTATATCCTTTATATCAAAATTAAATTTTGAGATTTTCACTCCCACTGATTTGCTATTTTATAGGAATCTTATGTTACCAGATTTAATTGTCCTCGTACTATGATTAGAGCAATAAAATATATACCCTTTTTAAACTTTTCTGAATAGATAATAAAATATTCAGAAATAATTATTAAATCTAATTTTCTTTTATGTGAGTTGAAGATCCTTATCTTCATAGGACACTTTTAAATATGTAAATATCTTAAGTCATGTTTCCTATCATTTCATAACTTAAAAGAAGTCATTAATTTACTTACTAGGAACACCATTCAAGATATACATAGTTGTCCTTGAGCTTCCTCTCACATTGATTTGGGTATAAAAGAATAATCTATCATGCTCCTAACCATATCTATAAGGTACGATGACATCTTTCAACAATCATATTCTGCTGTAACACATCTGGTAAATCATATACCTTATTTTTCTAAGAATCTAGCAAAAGAATTGGGTTCATCATAAATACCATAAAATTTATCACCCTTGTCAGATATGATGATCTTGACTTTTCTATCTAATTGTCTATCAACTTCATTTATATACACTTCAAGAGTGTAAATGATCATAGACTTTACATGAATTAGATATATATAATCATATCCCAATAGATTATTTATATGATGATAAAATGTCTCTCTTTAATGAGACAAAAGCATATAGTGATAAACATAACCTCAAGGAGTTTATAAAACTAAATTTTACTTCAATATTTAATTATATGATCATTGTAAACTTATGATTCATATTAATTCTGCATAGACTATTATACAGAATTCAAAGGATAATTTTATTGAATCACAGTAAGTTTACAACCACCAAAAGGGAAATAATATTATAATAATTCTAGGTAAAGAACTTAAATTCCCAGAATCATAAGAACATAAATGGATTCTCAAGATTTATCAAATTGAATCATCTTTAGATATAAGCGATAAATACAAACTAATATCGCTTTCACTTTAAAATAATTCCCTACATTGATAAATATCTCATTCTCTTTTGGTTTTATCCCAATATCTATTATTGGTAACATATGATGAAGCATCAAATTAATCCATCAATAATATCCGTAATATTTGATTTGAACCATACAAAGGTTATAATTATACCTTTTTTTATTTCAAATCAAATCTTATAGTATATTTTTTCTTCACATAATATTATTTGTTACAAAAGTAACATTTTATTGTGAAGATATTCTTTATCGTACGTATCATAATATTGTTAGATCCAATTTATTTGATTTCAATCTTAGCATAAAAGTTTTTCCGCATTATAGATAGCATGATTATAGATTTTATGCTAACAATTGGTATCAGAGCCAAGTTCTTGAGATCAAATATATTAGATCTATTATTGTTCTTTACGATGCTTGAATGATTCGTCGGATATTATTGATATGTTTTCTTTCTATATGATTTGCTCTATTATTGATTATGAGCAATGTATAATTTTATGTTTGATCAATGAATTTACTGTTTACTATCATCGATGTTATTGAGATGATCATCTCTGTTGATCGTTGTCGACGAAGGGCCGTGTACCACCCCGCAGCCGCGCATCACGGTCGTGCGCAGGCAGAGGTTCGCTTGAGAGCGGTGGCGGCACCACGGGTATCTCGCACCGCCTATGAACGTTGTACTCGCGGAAGGCAACGGTTGCCCTCACGCATAGTGGTGGCGCCCGCAGAAGGCATCTACGGAAGGGCGGTGGCCGCAGATGGCGGCAGCCGCTGCCCCCGTGGAAAGTTCTTTTTGTAGATCCTTGCAGATTGATATTTCAGATCCGACGATGGAGCGCTTGTAGATCAGATAAGATTTATTTTTCTGAACAACAAGAAAAAGGTACGTATCGTAATATTGTTAGATCCAATTTATTTGATTTCAATCTTGGCATAAAAGTTTTTCTGCATTATAGATAGCATGATTATAGATTTTATGCTAACATGTTCGTGATCCGGCACAAGATTATCTCCTCGGTCGCGTAGGAGGGGATCGTCTCGTACAAGCTGGGGTCGAGGCGGTATTCGTGCATTATCCACTTCAGACCGAGGCTGCTGTCCTTCTTGTTCTTCTTTCTCGGATCATCGCTGTCCTTGAAGAATTTGAGACTCCTCCGAATCCCGGTGATCGCCGACCCCCTATATCGAAGCGGTATGTCGCGGGGCTTCCCGTTGGCGACCCAGCTTCCACCGAGCGTCTTCCGATTCAGCCTATTATCGCTGGCTTTGGAGCGGGGCACGTGGACGAAGCAGTAGGACACACCCGTGGGAAGGTAGCTGGATCGGACCATCAATTCCCAGGGCGCTTTCTTGTACACCTCCATCTCGGGAATGCTAAAGCCGGGGGGGATTCGCAGCGGCAGATTGCGAACCTTGTTGAGGAGGCAATTGCCGATCAGTTCTGCGTCGGTCGGGGTAAACTTGCATCCCGCCCACCTCCATGTCTCGTCTCCGCCGTCGCTGGTGTTTACCAACGCCATTGCCGAAGAAGGAAGGGGAACGAAGGAGAAAGAAAGAAACGAGAGGGAAGAAGTCGAAAGGAGGAGAGTGGCCAGACGAAAGTAAAGGTGGCGTCGCCGTCGGGGATATCATATATATAGAGAGGAGGGGGGTGTGGGGGCACCAATCCAACTAGGAAACACAAAAGTTTCCTACTTTAACATAGGGATCGAACAAAAATTATGTTATATTGTGCCTAGTAGAGATAGGAGAGGGTGATCGGAGTAGGAAACACCCTGTATTATTTATATTTATTATATTCAGTTTTTGTTCTTCACGGTGCTTATAAGTAGAGTTGCATCTCCTCTCCTCTCCTCCTCGGACAAGGCTTCGACCATTCAAATCCTATGACCCAAATGCGGCTTGTTTGCCAGCCTTTTGTAATTGCAGGGATGTTTGCACATTGCTCTTTCGTGATATGTCTCCTCGGATCATAACATTTTCTTTCCTTCGATCCGTGTTTATTAGCTTCTCGGACCAAATCCTTCTGAGCATCTCCAAGACTCAACAAAAACCTTCCACCTTCACTATCCAGAAAGTTTCATACCCTGAAAACAGCATATAGTAATCATTGGAAAGAGCTACATACATATTTATGTAGTTGTGGTTCATCACATCTTATTTTGGCTGTCACGAATATGTGTCAGTTCTTGCTCGAGTTCTTAACTCTACGTTCTATCTGGTTCGATAACTCGCATCCCTTAATAATAAAAAATTTAGAGGGTCGGAAAACTTATCTCTCGGACAATCGTCCTCTATCTCGAACGACAAAGATTACGAATCTAATAAAAATATATTTAAATTTTTAATAGAGTTTGATTAGGACTCAAAATTACTGTGTGAGCCAGGCAATGGAAGCTGTCATGTATATAGGATCAAATGAATGACACAGTTAGTGTCACCAGAGGATACATCGAGTTGAATCAAACTAATCTGAAGCTAACATATTATAGTTTATTTTGTTTCACACAATTATCACTCGTATCAATTAACAGTCAACAGCTGAAATTTTCACAACCATCAAAGCAATCTATTAGATGAAGCTTCAATGTCAATTCGATCCACTACCTCTTACAACAACAGCAAACGGAGAAACTCCACACCTCCTGTTCAAGTAGATTTATGGAATGGTTGATAGAGATGACATGCCAGATTCATGTGGGGTTTCACAAATGATGAAATCGAGGGACCCCTCTCATCCCAACTTCTGAACGATGGATTCGAGCATGGCGGATTTGGGATTCACCATGGGCGGGCCCTTCTCCCTCTGCTCGAGCTCGCTGAGGTCGAAAGTGAGGAGTTTGTCCCAATTCCCACCCTCGAAGAGCACCCCGGCCTTCCCGTCGGTGACCCTCTGCACGACCCCGCTGTACATGTAGAACGGGCTCTTGGGGTTCTTGACGATGACGATCATCCCCGGCAAGAAGAGCGGCAGCACGGGCGGGTTCGGCTTCGGCCCCGACAGCACCGTGGCCAGGTCCTCGCCGGCGGGCCTCTGCTTGGGGGGAGGGGGGTTCCGCTCTATGAACTTCTTGAGGCCCTTCTCGCCGCCGGGAAAGCCACCGGTGAGGCCGGCGAGCTCCTTCTCGAAGGCGTCATCGCCGGTACCCAGTGCCGAAATAGGAGCGGCAGTAGGAGGAGGAGAAGAGAGGGGAGGCGGAGGGGCTTCTGCGGGGGATCGTTGGAGCTCCTTTTTTATGCCCTGCTCTCCGCTGCAGAGGCCGCGGCCTCCCAGGAGCTCGGAGAGGTCGAATTTGGCGGAGGGAGCGAGGGCAGCCGGGGTGGAGCGGAGAGGGGGTTTGGGAGACGTAGAAATGATGGTGGTTCCGCGGACGAAGGTGGAGTTGCAAGGTCGGAGGAAGAGGAGACGAGGATTTTGGGTAGTGTAGATAGGAATCAGCGCCGCCATGGATGGATTCGATGGAAGACGAGGAGGCTATAGTTCGAAGGGAGGCAGGTAGCATGCGGAGGGAGAACACCACCACCCGACGGGTCGCACGAGGCCTCGACACCACAAATCACCAATCACGTGACATGCACATGAATGATGAAAGCGGAGCAGATAATGATCATAATTCAGATATGCCCCTTTTCTGGAGCAAAAACATATATATATATATATATATATATATATATATATATATATATATATATATATATATATATATATATATATACT